ACACCCTCGATTGATATATTGTATCAGCATCACTATAATATAATATTATTCGTGAATTCTTATGTAGAACATTCTATTCACCACCTGTATTCTTCACTTTCAACACAACATACTTTCAACTCTTCTTCAATATCATCAACGTCGGAATCCTCAAGAGCTTTCATGTGCTTGTCTGTTTCGTCATCTTGTTCGATAATATTTTCCTTGTTGGATGACATTTTGACTGCCCAATAGAAAATGATTTACTTTTTTTTGTTTTATAGCAGCTTAGTTTATTCAAGATACTAGTCATTTCAAATTCAATCTTTTCATCACGCGTGATCTTTTTTTTCAATAACAAGTTCTTATCTGTTCTTATACCTAGCAGTAATAACTCTAGATTTCAAACACAGCTGATTGTGACGACAGAATGCAAGAGAGAGAGAGAATTTTTCTTTTTTTTCGTGCTTGTGCAGAATGCAAGAAAATGTCGGAATTGAAAGGATTAAGTATAGAATGATCATGAGTCTTTTCTGACCATTGTCGTATAAATCTTCATTTATTATTTCACTATGAAAAAAACCCTGAGTATTACTAGTTCAATACTACAATGTTGTCGATATGTGCGATTTATAATGTATGTAGTAATATAAACAATTTATCTTTTAATTTTCCAGCACAGGCATGGCTCTTAAAAGAACGAAAAAAAACTCGTAAGGCTTCTTTATTCGTCAGAAAAGAATGACTCTTTTTTTATGGTTTATTTCATTTTTAGTCAACCGTACAATCACCTCATCATCATCATTCTTCTTCGTTCTTCGTTCGTTACTAATGAATGTCTATGTTGCACTCTCACGTTGTTTTTCATATTAACATATTCAACAGCATGCAAAAAAAAAAGGTAGTCTTCTTCAATGACAAGTAGGGGTAGACCATTTAATTTAACGGGACTTAATTAATGACATTAATTAATGTATTTCATTAACCATTAATATTAATGTTAATGTTTTTCATTAATCATTAATATTAATGGTTAATGTTTTCCTCTAAAAACTTAATTCATTAATATTAATGATTAATGAAAACATTAACATTAATATTAATGATTAATGAAAAAACATTAACATTAATATTAATGTTAATGTTTTCATTAATCATTAATATTAATAAATTAAGTTTTTAAAGGAAACCATTAACCGTTAATATTAATGATTAATGAAAAACATTAACATTAATATTAATGTTAATGAAAAATATTAACATTAATTTAAGATTAATGTTAATGGTCCACCCCTAAATGACAAGAGAAAAAATACGAATGACGACAGAGAGAAAAATATAGAAAGGAAGTGCATACCTTATAAAAGAACGCATTCCGATTATTCTTTCATTAACTAATTTTCAACCATTTCACATCATTAATATCAATGAAACAAACGATGGACCAAAACAACTCAATAGTAACTGGCGAATATGGTAACGCAAAAAAAGCAAGCCAACCATCTACTATTTCAAAAGCTGCTGACACAACTACACAAGCAGCAGCAGTTAATAACAACCATCCACATGAGCGGATTGTCCAGAACTACTTATTAATTTGGGTCGATGCCAATATCCACGAATCAAACAAAGATTCACAAAACACATTG